CTTTCTATTAATTTAATATTTACTTTTGCTCTCAATCTAGATATTATTCGATTCAACCTAGTTTTTTTTTAATACTTATAAGTGTAGATTGCACCTTCTAACAGCAAAGTGGCTGTAGTTTAGTGGTGAGAATTCCACGTTGTGGCCGTGGAGACCTGGGCTCGAATCCCAGCAGCCACATTAGTTTTTAATTTTTTGAGGAAATAAAAAGAAATGGACCCGAGGCCCAAATGAGACGAAGAAATGGGCTGGGCTTAGGTCTGGATTCGGTCGTGAAACTTGAAACACAAAGACCGCGCAACAGTAACAGCAACCGGTATGTAGCCGGTAGCAGGTAAGGAGAAAGGGAAATCGCACAGTTGGTGAAATGAAAATTGAAGACATGCCATAATTATTGCATTTGCCCGGCAACCAGCAATTTGTTTGACGCTTATTTGCGCTTCCTTCCACTTCCCGCCGGAGTATGCGCCATTTCCTCTCCGATCACACGTTTCTGTACCTTTCTTTTTCTCTATTTTCGTTCAACTATTAGACATCGCGAGGTTGTCATTTTCATTTCCATTTCCATTTCCATTTTTTACAGGAATCGCTGGAGCTTAGTCTATGGTTGGATTTAATCAGGCTGAGGGTGAACAGCGGCGCTGTCTTTTTTTCATCGCGTCAAAACTGTACCAGAACAACCGATTCCTAATTTTTCAGGAGAAACTAAGGATTCAAGAGTGAGAATCTGCGCTTTGTTAGTCTTAGTCTTAGTCTTCATCCCTTTGTTTTTGATCAACTTCTATATTTTTTAAGTTCATTTTTAGAATTTGTTTTTAAGCAAAATTTGGCTTATCAGCGTCCGAAAGCGAGGGCAGCGATTTGACATTTACTTCGCTGCTTGAAATTGGGCTGCTGGAGAAGTACTGTAAGAGGTGAAAATGCTGACATGCATAGTTCGTTCTAAGAAACTCGGAGATGGCTCCTTTACTCAAATTGAAGAATCGGACTCCGTCAATGGACCTGGGAATAAGCAACAATCTGTCAAATCTCTGACAGGTCAGGTACTTCGAGATCAAACTCCTTTTCTCCTAGTTATTAATTTCTTGTTCTCATGACTGGAATGAGGGAATTTAATGTTCATGTTCCGTGTTGGTTTGTTCTTTTTAGCTCAAAGACATGGCGTTAAAAGCCTCCGGATCGTACCGAACTTGCAACCCTTGCGCTGGGCCGATACCGCAGAGTCGACTCAAGAACTGCAGCTCACAGTCAGATGCCGACTCAGAGCGGTTCAAGTGGGCTTACAAGCGATCCGGGAGCTTGAGCTCGACGAAAACGAGAACATGGGGCAAGGAGATGGAAGCGAGGCTGAAGGGGATTTCAAGCGGAGAAGGAACCCCCAATTCACTGAGTGGGCGCCGAGTTGACCCAGTTGTGTACGTCGAGGAGAGCGAACCAAAGGAGTGGGTGGCGCAGGTGGAACCCGGTGTGTTAATCACATTCGTTTCACTTCCTCGGGGAGGGAATGATCTGAAACGGATACGTTTCAGGTACGTTCTACACAGAATAACATCGACGGTACAATTTTTTTTGGTTTCTTTTTAATAAGTTACTTTGCGGTTTGGTTTGACTTTAATGATATAGCGGATGTGAATAAGGATGTGTGGTGGGGCTTTATAATCACCTCCCCACCATCTTTTTCGACTTCTTAATTAGCAATAGAAGCGGCCCTCTTAGTGGGTCATTTACTGGGAGTTGGGGACGTGCTTGGATCTTATTTCCCCTACTTTTCAGTTCATCTTTTTTATAGTTTATTTGCCCTTCTGGAATTTCTTTGGCTGTGTGCGTCACCAGAGCTTATTTTTTGTTGGAAGAGGCGAGGAAGAATATATTTAAAAGAAAGAAAGGTTGAAACAGAGGGTTGGAGTAATCTCATTTGGAATTGTGGGGTCTGATTTTTTCTCAGTAAAGATCACGCCTTCTCATGAAAAGCAATGAAGAAAAAGTCCAAAAGTAAAACTCAATTGTGACGTGGGAGTGGTGGGTGGGGGCAAATTTGATTGTGGTGGGGAAACTTTATTCCCAGAATTGTCGTCGTGTCGGGGAATTCTCTTCCTCTTCTCTTTCTTTTCAACAATTCTTCACGCCTACCCTGATTCTCCTGGATTTGTCTTCTGCTAATCGAGTTAAATGCTGGCTTACCCACAGCCCACACAAAATTGAACACCAAACAAGGTTATTCCTCATCTCCACCAATTTAAATATCTCTTCTATCCTATCGGTCTCCACTACGTTTATAAATAAGCTGTTGGTCTCATCCGTAACCCTTTTGCGATATCCCACCTTGGTTGGGAGGAGAACGAAAGACCCCTCGTAAGGGTGTGGAAACCTTTCCCTAACATACGACCTTGAGGAGAATATCTGCTAGCGGTGGGCCTGGGCCGTCACACCTTTGGATTGACTTTATCTAAGCTACGTGACACCAATTAGACGAGATCCTATCATAATATCCCCGTCTGTTAGCCTAATAAAGAAAAGTTCGAGGGGATTGGATCTAGTGGTTAATAGGCCTTGGGCACAGAGTCAATATTTGATACCACCAGAACTACTTTATTCAAAGCATTAAAGTTTCTCCTTGCTTTTTTCTTTTTTCTTTTATATTATTGACCAAATTGGCTCCTATTAAGAATTTTCATGATTAGCAGCACTAGGGTGAAACTAAAAGGTTATTGTATGTGACGAGAACAATATTCTTTGCTAGGTCCATTGCTGTGAAAATGTTTTATCTTTGGTAATCCATATCTTGTTAATTATGAGTGAAAACAAGAGAGGAAGACAAAATTTGTAGTTCCATATGTATAGTGATATCTGATCTCTATGACCGTGACAAGTATAGCAATTTCTTTCAAAGTTCCATATGTAGAGTTTGATTGTTGGTTTTGTTTTTGTAACCATCTTGATTAGTCGAGACGTATTCAATAAATGGCAAGCTCAAAGATGGTGGGCAGAGAACTATGATAGAGTTATGGAACTATACAATGTTCAGAGGTTCAACCGGCAAGCCTTTCCTCTTCCCACCCCACCGAGATCCGAGGATGAGGTAAGCTTATAGCTCAGTAGCAGCGCTTGAGAAGACTGATAGCATTTTGAAATTACAAAAATGATAGTTGTGTGCAATATAATTTTTGTGTTGTGTATACTGTGTTTCTTGTTATCTCATATTGATGAGGCCCCCCTCTCCCCTGAAACAGCAAAGCTCAAAAATAGAATCTGTGGAACACAGCCCTGTAACACCTCCACTAACTGCAGAACGCTTGCCTCGCAATCTCCACCGTCCCATTGGAGCGGGTGTGAGTTATTCATCCCCAGATTCACTTGAATATCAGCCAATGCAGTATCGGCAGTACCAAGATTCAGGTCTCACCTCCACTCCTAAACTCTCTAGCATCAGTGGCGCAAAGACAGAAACATCTTCCATTGATGCATCCATGAGAAGCAGTTCATCAAGGGATGCAGATCGTTCAGGAGAACTATCCATCAGTAACGCTAGTGATCTTGAGTCTGAATGGGTCGAACAAGATGAGGCAGGGGTTTATATTACAATCAGAGCTTTGCCTGGCGGCAAACGGGAACTCAGAAGAGTCAGATTCAGGTACTAAACATTCTGCATCGTCTTGATTTCAATTTATTAAACGTACGTACGTAGCTTTCAGAAATTTTCTATAGCTTGCCATTGCTACAAATGAGAACCTTGTTATCCCCTACCACTAACCAAGTTCATATATTTCCAAGGTCGACTAACTATAATGAAAATTGAAGTTAACATTCTTCTAGAATTCTATCAAAAGATTAGTTGATACTTGATAATGCCACCCACTATTCTCAAGTCAATTTTGCTCTGTTGACCTTGTTCTCTCATCTTTGACTGTTGCAGCCGGGAAAAATTTGGGGAGATGCATGCTAGGTTGTGGTGGGAAGAAAATCGAGCCAGAATACACGAGCAATACTTGTAAGAGAATCAGTGCAAAAAATCTGGCAATGTGCGCTTTTCTAAAGTCCGAAAGAAGTGGTACTTTTCAAAATTTATGATCATTGCCATACTAGTAAGAAGTCTTCCTTATAGAGATCTTTCCAGTGCTGCTAGTGTTGGCATCCTATGATGTTTGGGGGTATACATATACATGCGAAACCAAGTCGCGTGTAGTTTTCACAATATGTGGATGTTAGATTTTAATTTTTTAATAGCTTCTTTCCCGTCTTACATTTTGGTTGAAGAGGCATTGCCTCTATGTATTGTAGTATGGTGGATGTAAAACTTTAATTCCTCATGTGTCAATATCAATGGAAGAGATTAAGATGTGCGGGCTTCCTCCCTCTCTCATTCAGAAGTGTAGAGAACCTGTCATTTCTTAGCAATAGAGATGTATATTTATGGGCAGAAACGGGACTTTTATTTATACTAAAGAGAACTACAGAAGATTAGTTTAGAAGTCACACCACTGTTTAGATTCTTCTACATGGACTGGATCAATAGAATCAATGGGCTGTAGGAGAGGGACGAATGAAACTGCGTAAGACAAATAGTTCATAAGAAAATGCTAAAGTTGAGCTGAGACTCGAGAGGGTCTATCCGGTTCTAACCACAGTGAGTGAGTGTGCTTGGTGATTGAAATTACCTGCCCAACTTGTTGATTTTAAAACTTACAGAAGTGTCTCTGAAGCAAGGGCTGCAAAATCATGGCTATGGTCAAACATTTCCCCGATGAATTTCTGCGAAAAGAGAAGTCAGGGAGGAAAGTAATGGAAGTAAAGTAACATAAAGGAAGATGGTGGCACAGGCTTCCAAGTCTGGATCTTCTTTAGGGGAGCCTTCTGTTTACTGATTTTTGTGTGTGTTTTGGTTAATTGTTTTGAGTTTGATTGGCTTTTTACAGGTTTGAAACAAGGGAAAATGATAAAACAGGGGAAACTCAAATTCAACTGGTTGCCTTCGCAGACAGGCTACTATTCCACCAAGAATGCTTTGTCCTGCTTTTGATAATCATAGAATCCACAATGATTTCAGGTATGGAAAACTTCCCATCTGAACAAACAAATCTGGTTTATGTTGGGCACTGCAGAAAGAGAAACTCGAAGGATCAGCAGAGGGGACAAGGATGCAGAAGAAATGAAAGAAGAGGTAATTGGGGAGACAGGTAGTGAGTCAAAATAATTGGAGGAACAGGCAAAGATTGCAAAAACTAAACCGTGAAGATTCTTGTGGTACAGAAGAACTGAAGTTGATATGTAGTTTAGGAGTGGACAGTGAAGCAGAGGGTGAAATCTGTGGAAGACAAATGTTAGTGGAGACTGAAGAGTGTTTGTTTCTCAACAACCGACATGGAAGGATTCTCAGACAACGAGGAAGATTGTAGTATGCAAAATTGGCACAAAACAGGCTATTTCATATGACAATGCCATTGCCTGCAATGAGTAATGGAAAGCTGTAGACAGGCAGGAAACTTTAACCCTTTGTCTTGGGCGTAGGGTGCATTTTTGGTCACCTCATTTAAGTTTTTAATAGTAGAGCCATTTAAGTCTTCCCTAAAAAAGAATTTTTAAACAAAAAATAAACTCATTTGGATGGAAATCCCTACTCACTTGTTTCAAATTTTTTCCATAATAGGTTTGGTTCAATTATGAAACTCTTGAACTTGATACAATTAATAGTTTAGAGTTTTTCTTTCGTTTCTATATACCAATTTCAAAATAAACAAAGAACAAGATTTTTTTTTTATTTAAAAAAAAAAAAAAAAAACAGGATCGATCAGTTGCTTTTTAATGTGTTTTCTTCAACTATTTTAAAATCTGTTTATACTTAATAATTATTTTCTTAAATTTGTTTTCTACATAAATATATAGAGGACTTTAAAAAACACTTTTCAGAATTCAAAATAATGAATGATTTTGTACTATGGGTTTGCAAATTAGTTGGAAACTATTTTATTTGAGAGATTTATTAATCAATCATAGAAGAAAAAATAACATAGAAATGGTTATTTTTGCGCAAACTTTTAGTTTATTAAAATTAACGAGGTTATGAAGATTTTTACACTTTCTATGCTAAAATTAGTGGGCAAATTAATGAAAATTGAATCGATGGTGAAATGGTAACAAAATTAATAGAAATTAACAAATAATAGTCGAGTTTGTTTTTATTTTTCTTAATCTAAAGTCGAAAAAGAGATATTTGGCTAGTTTAGATTCTGACCTCATGTCTTGGAGGCATAAGCGTAAATGGGCCCAAGTCCACTTGAGAGAATACTGGTCCAGATCCAAATTACGAAGCCCTTACATTGCAGATTAACCCATCTAATTGAATGAAAATTGGAGTGCATACCCAAAACCGGAGTGCCAAAACTGAAAAATAGGCAAAAGTAGAAACGTATTATTTTTAGCCAAACTATCATCAACTAGGCTTCTAAATTACACTACAATTGCCCATTTTTGGTCGATCTCTAATCGATAAAAAAAAACCCATTGTAGTTACCAATTGCCGTCTTTATCTTTTTGCAGTTGGATTCATCGAAGTCTGTAATGTACCACAGCCAGCAACACGGCTACAAAAATAGCAGCTACCCGAGAGTTAGACAACCATCAAGTTCCTGTGTTAAATGGACAAGTATAACAGTCACATTGTAGTGCAGAATCCTTAATTAACCAAGATTACCAAATTTTCCAACTAAATAATACCACCACAATGATTGAGAAAATATAACAATAGTTCGAATAATATTTCGATATTGCGGCAACATCCTCCAAACAAATCCTGAAAGGTCATTGGGCCAACAAGATAATGTTATCTTCAGTTTCAAGTCCAAAACTTGCCACGTGGGACAGGGCACCTTAAATTTGGACCGCTCACTGGGTCAAGCTTCCACCACCACCTCTATCTATCTTTTCCCTCAATATCCTAAAATCAAGTCAGGAGAGAGAGAGAGAGAGAGAGAGAGAGAGCTTAGTAAAAGCTTCAATCAAGATTGACTGAGAAGAGGCAAGACAGAACCGAATGGCTTCAACTTCCGCAGTTTCAATGGCTATGCCAATTACTAATGCGACCCAGAAGAGAGCAAGGAGCACCGACGCCTTCGCTAAGGCATTGCCTTTGAGGCCTTCCAACAAGCCAACCGCTTCATCAAACTCCAGAGCCAAGTTCCAAGTGCGGGCTTCTTTGAAGGAGAAGGCAGTTGCTGGACTCGCTGCAACTGCACTGACGGCCTCCATGGTGCTTCCTGAGGTGGCTGAAGCGGCTGGGCCTGGAGTTAGTCCCTCTCTAAAGAATTTCTTGCTCAGCATTGCCGCCGGTGGGGTAGTCGTCGCTGCTATCTTGGGTGCGATTATCGGCGTTTCCAATTTCGATCCGGTCAAGCGTACCTGAGCTGAGGAGGATGACATTCCACCAATTGTGTTTTCATTTTCCTTTCTTCATAATGCCGTCGTCCCATGATGTTCCATTGTCTGTAGTGGTTGGTTCTGTGTTTTGTGTGTAATATGCGGCTCCTGCCGTAAATCACCAGAAACTGTGATATATATTGAATGTAAAGTACCTATTTGCTCAAACCATCACTTTCTCTTTCCCTGAATACATTTTATTCTACGAATGTCTGAAAAAAAAGAATAAATGTTCGTCCTCCAAGAGTAGAGTAATTCTGGACAGAATTATATCGCCTAGTCGGCAAGAAATAATTTGTTACCTCTTTGAAAGCAAATCCAACATATATTTGCTTTCTGAAGAATAGTTTACCTTATCTGCCTTAACTACAGTATTTTTCACTCTCTGTTCATCCCCGTACATCTCCTCCTTGATTTTGAGTCTAAACAGAAATTGATCGAAAATTTTACCTCTGATTATTTCACCAAACTTGACATCATCCTGCTGTTCATACTTCAACATGTACAACTCCTTGGCTGAGACACCCAGAATCTCTTCACCAGTTTCCTGGAAGGCGGTCACCCATGTCAATCCAGTATGGTCTTGGATTTGGGCTTGGAGAAGATACCTGTAATCGCAATCCTCAAATACTTGATTGCACCGGTCACACAGCCACTTCGAGTTTCCTGATCTAGTCACCTTCTTGTTGCATTGTCGATCTCCAATCATTAATGGACATGCTGTGTAGCAGAAGGAATCTGTTTTAATAAACGATATTGTTGCTTTCACGGTTATCCAATCTGGCTTATCAGATCTGCCAAGTCCTTCATCTTTTATCTGAGATACAGACTTTCGAATCTCATTCTTGGCAGATCCTGACATAATTTCTTTAGAAATAGACAGAGAAGTAGTATTCTTCCCTCCACCATCGTACCAGTCTCTCAAGATGAGAGCCTCAGAAAGATCTGGATTTACGAAAAGCTGTGTAGAAGAAATTGTCCCAATGGATTTCCCAGTGAAATCACTTACCTTCCCAGACTTCACAGCCAAAACTGGAGAGAGGCCTGAGTTGATCATTTCTTGCAGATTTTGACCTTCTTTGTTGCAAAAATCTCCCCACAGTGTCAGCTCGACACTCCTGCCAGACGCATCCTTCAAATTCAGAACCCTTCTTTGAGTTTCCATACCATTTTTCCTCAAAACAGGAATTGATGGATTGATAGATGTTACAATACCAATAACATCCAGAATAGAGTTGGTTTCAGCATTTTCAATTTCACTGATAGGTCTAAAAGAAAACTGCTGTCTTGGTATGGTATCATCTTCATCTGGACAATGTTCCACAGTGGAAGATGCCTCCAAGAAAACCTCCCATTCATTCTTTAGGTGATTGAAATCCTTCCGCGCAGGTTTTAGGCTACCTTTAGAAATCAAGTAAACTTTACCAACTTCTATGACCTCGTAGAAACGATCAACAACAGCATTGAAGCAGGTCACACGTATCTCTCCTCCATCAGAATCAAGGAGGTCAAAAGAGAAAACTTTTCCATCACCTTTAGCATTATTATAGCGACGGAGATCACCCTTTGCAGTAACTCTTGCCTTTATAGCCCATCGTCCCTGATAAGGATTCAATGCAGCTATGGGAATTACACGGGCTGGTGCCTCATTCTTAATGATTGCACCATGATTTTTATAATTTGGAGGTGGCTGATACGGAGGTTGAACTGTAGCTTGGAAGCTCTGCACATTATTAACTGGATTTCTGGCACTCACAAGACGATTACCAACCTTGGCAGGTTGCTCTAAATTTCCAGACGGCATTGCCTTTTGTGCAACATTCTCTGATTGGGCAGATGATTTTGGATTCCCAATTATCTCACTGTCCAATATAATAGTTTCCAGGCTGAGCACAACAATAACCCTGCATAGAAAGGTAGTAGAGAAATCAGTATTGGCTCTAGTTACAGCAATTCAAGTCGGAAGTAGATTTAACTCAAAAGGGAAAAACCTTCCCTGCTCAATTATAACATCCATCCTACTGTGAAGAATTTACAAGTCATCTAGTTTACAAAGCTACGGTCTGCATAGAATGGGAAGTAAGATACCATAATTAACATGATCACGAAGACATACCCACAAAGCAACATTATTTGAACAGCTGAGCTAACAATAGTTCCTTCTTTCTCATGTCATGACGTGTACACATACTCAGCTTATAACAAGAATATGAGAGACTGGAACGAGACCCAAACCAAACAATTCAAATGGACAGTTAGTCGGTCATAAAAAGTCAATAACCTTGGACAGTAATTCATGCATGCACCTAGCATTTCAAAACAAGCAGATAAACCGACAATAAGACATTTTTCCCACGATGTGTTCATGTACACAGATTTTAATGAGACAAAAGGAGAAACGGCAATCTATCGCATTAAACCACTTGTGTAAAAATATAATAACTCAAATGGACATTCAATCCATGATTTAAGTTTAATGAACCATATCGACCATAGAAAGTAATTCATGTATGCACAAAACATTCAGACAAGCATGTAAACTAACAACAGGATCCTTTTTTCCTCATGATTTGTTCGTATACACAGATTTTAATAAGAATACAAGCAAATAATGAAAATCTATCGATACTAAACCACTTGTGTACAGACCTGAAAAAAGTTATGTAAGACCTAATAATTCAAATGGACAATCAATCAACGATTAAGATTAATATTTAGTAAACCGTATCAATCATAAAGAGTAAATCATGCATGCACCGAACGTTTCATTATCTCAAATATAAACTGACAATAAAACATTCTTTTCCCATGATGTGTTCATATAAACAGATTTTAACAGGAACAAAAGGAGCAAAAAGCAACCTAATGGCACCAAAAAAAAACTTCTGTACAAACCTAACAATTCAAATGGACAAGTAATAAAACAATAAAAATTTAACAACTGTATCAATTTTAGACAGTATTCTAACATCCACCTAACTTCAAACAGGTATGTAAACTGATGAAAGAATATTTTATACCATGATGTGTTCATATACACAGATTTTAACAGGAACAAAAAGAGAGAACAATCTTTCAACGCTAAACCATTGTGTACAGACCTAACAGTTGAAATGGAAAATTGATTATGATTAAAATTTAATAAACTCTATCAACCTTGGACAGTAATTCATGCATGCATTGAACATTTCAAACAAGCATATAAACAGACAATAGAAAATTTTCTCCCACGATGTGTTCATGTACACAGATTTTAACAAGATCAGAAGAGAGCAGCAGTCGATCGGCACCAAGCCACTTAATAATTTAAATGAACAATTAATGCATGATTAAAATTAATACACTAGTATCAACTTTAGACGGTAATTCATACTTACACCAATCATTTCAAACAAGCATACAAACTGTTTTCTACAAGAGATTTCAACGCAGAGCAAAATAACCATTTCTCCGATTCAACTATGCATCACTAAATGATTTATCTCAAAACTTCAAATGCGCACCTAGTTTTCTAAACTTGCATCACGTTGTCCGAGAAGGCCAGTAAGCCAATTAAAATGAATAATGACACCACATACGGCTAGATTTTTTCAAAATATAATTATAATAATCCATCACGATGAAAAAAAAATAATTAATGAAGTACGAGGGAGAGAACGGACTTGCGGCTCTTAATGGGACTGCAAACATAATCGATCAACTGGATAACTGATCCTTTCTTGACTCGTCCAGTCTTAATAATATCATTGAGCTGAGTTGCGAGCATAGCCTGCTCGGTAGAAACAGCATCGGAGATCAAGAGGCTGTACCTCTCCTGCGTATTACCGATCAGCTTGATATCTAGGACCTGCACCAGGGGCTTGGAATTAACGTCACCAGCGACAATTGCAGAGATTGCATTCGGCGTGAGATGCACCGGCATGATACAGATGCGACCGCGAGAGAGCTCGGGAATGAATCGTGAAAAGAAAGTAAATGATTACAAAGAAACTGACGAAAACCCTAGGAAAATGGAAGAGAAAGTAAGATTGAGAAGCAATGCGAGTGGAATTGAAGTTCAAGCAAGGAACGGGGAGAATGAAAAGGCCTTGGTGAAGCAAAGCAAACGGAAATGGAGCTTAATTACAAAGAAAATTCAGAGTCTGACACCAACGTCCAACAAATGAAGACGATAATCTGCCGTCCTCGGTCGAAACTCTACGAGATTTAGCGGGACGTCAGTTTATATATGTGCGGGGATCTGATGGCGGTTTCCTTTTTCTTTTTTTCTTTTTTTTTTTTCTCGACGTGAAAAATTACCAAAATACCTTCCAACTTGTCCGATAGATTTGAAATAAAATGGTAAAATTGTAGAAATTTCTATGAAAACAGTAAGAACCGCAGAATTTGGACAATAAAAATATATAATTGCAAGTTCTGGTCCTTCAACTTTCACTTATTTCCACATTTAAGCTTTCTCAATGAAAATTCAAGTCACAGTCCGATCATTTTCTTACATAAGATTATGCCATTAAATTTTATAAAGTTTTATTTTTAAATGTAAAGATGACAAGATAAGCCATGAATTGTGAGAAATGAAGTTCAAAGCTTGCAGCTTCTAGGCATGGCTAGCCAGCCCTTGGCCATGAGTGAACCTCGCATCTTCCTCAGTGAACACATGAGTCTCATTCATCATCCTGCACGCACAACCACAACCTCATCAAACATGATTTTTTTTTTTTTTTTTCCGCTCAACTAATCGAGACGATGAAGATCAACTATCTTTGTACTTACGCTGTACGAATGGTCTTGTTTATGACTGTTGATGACACAATGAATGCACCGTCCAAGTAGCGTAGCTCGCCTCGAACTCTCTCACGTATCCTCTTGTCGAGATCTTCCATGTCCAATTCAAAAGGATGATCACTAGCCTGTCGTTACAATTTTGTATAAAACCATATTATAACGTGCCATCTCTCAGACATTTCATCGGTTTAAAAAGTAAATATTTTTAAGCACTTGGAAAGTCATTCGAACTCTTTCTAGTTGTTTACCAGAACCCATCCGCTCGAATCTGCATAGGATGGAATATGAGCTGTGTATGCGATCACATCTGTGCACATAAAACGAAAGATGTTAGACCAAACAGAGCGCTTCAAATTTAGACCTACATGAACTTGTTCATCTAA